TAAATTTTCTGTTCTGTTCTGTTTTTTGCCTTCTTCATTTAATTAATACGCGGAAACAAGATTTAACAATTTTTAACAACAAAAAAAAATTATTACAGATTCGACCTTGGATATAGACCGAACACAACAAAAATTGAAACAAATCAGCTGTTTAACTTGGAACAATTAATCAAAAAACAAACAACGACAACATCGAGTTAAAAAAAAGCCTACAGCCTTTTGGGACCTATATTTTGTTGCCCTTCTCATCACATTTTTCTGACACAAACGAGTGCAAAAGAGAGAGTGAAAAAGCCTCCTGCACACACCATCATCATTTGCTAATGTCGATTAGTAGGACAATCAGGTCAGCTGGTTGGTACAGTGAACGAGAGAAATGAATGAATGAAAAAAAAATAGTATCAAACCCTTAAGAGCCATATCATTATTATATATCTGATACCCTTTGACATGAAGGTCATGACCCAGTGATTGATTTAGTATGTGTGTGAAAATGGTACAACAAAATGTTTTTTAACCAAAAAAAAAAAATGACCCATTGCTTTAAAACTAATAACTATTACCATCGGACTTATGTGATAAATTGGTTAACCGGATATCGGATGTTCGAGACATGTGTTTTCATTCATCATTTGGACCTTGGATTTATCCTGTTTGTTTGTTTGTCAGGTTTGTCTGTTTATTGCATTTAAATTTTTCAAGGCTTTTCCTCGAATTTATGAGATTATTTTGTTTCAAAATGTTATTTTTTTTAACAACCTTGACCATGATGAAAATGATTACATTACATTTTCCCAGGAAAAAAACAACCATTCATTTTAATCATTCTGGTCATGTTGTTGTTGTTTTTTCTGAGACATCAAAAAAAGAGGAAAAAAATTGGAGAAAAAACTATCAAAGACAAAAACAAAACGCAAGGACAAACGCAATGTGTTTTTTTAGGCTTGGTTCCATTTTCTTGGTTTCACCAATCACTATTTATAGTCAAAAAAATGTTTATGAAAAGACTTTTACTTTTACGTAAAGACGATTATTATTATTGGGTAAGAAAAAAGTCCTTGAAAAAATTTTCCCTCAAATCATCATGATTTCGATTTTTCAGTCGGGATTTTTTTTTTTGGTCATTTTGGTTTCATTCAATTATATAACATCAAAACTAAAACATGGGTGATTTTTTTCATCTTTTTTATTCATTCGTTTTCAATCCCTGGGAATTCAACAAACTGTTGTTATTGTTGTTTTCAATTTTCGCCGATCGGTTATATAGCAGGTCCATATATTTATCCAATGACCCAATGACCCGAGGTCAAAACTCAAATCGAAATTTTTTGTTGTTGATGAAATTTGGAACAATCACTATATCAAAATCTGAATGAAATAAAGTTCAATGACAAATGAAAAAACACACTGACCTTTGATCATCATCATCATCATCATCGTCGGTCATTACCTGACTATTCGGTTATTATGAATGCACCGAAAATCAGAAATTTTTTTTGACCGAATATCATCATCATGACAAAACATTTTTGAATAGAATGAACAAATAAAACAACAAAAAAAGGGTTTATTTAATTTCATATCAGCATTTAATAGAAACAAACAGGTTTGAATCAATAACAACAACAAAATCGAATAAAAATTACTATAGGAAAATCATTCAAAATTACCCACATTAACATATTGTGTAATGAAATGTCCAACAAAAAAAAACTACTATCAATGAATGAATGAGGGACTTTCTCTTTTTTTCTGATGAAATTTATTTATTTTTTTCTTGTTAAATTCATCAATTGTCCTTTACCTTGAATTTTTTTGGCTTTTCGTTGTTGCAACTGAATCGATTACAAATAGAATAAATGTTCGCAATCACATGTGTGTGCGTGTGGGTATTTGCTTGTTTTGGTGTGTGTGTGTGTATTGTCGATTATGTGATGTTTGTCGATTGACAAAACAAATGTCCTGTGTGTTTTGTCATCATCATTTAAAATATTCTGCCAATTATATTTCGATATACGAATGAGCCATGTATTTGTTTAAAAAACAATTCATTGATTTTATTTTCGGTAAAAAACAAATGATGTGTATATTAACATAGATTGATTGAATTTCATCAATTTCAATTAAATTTGATACATAGCTGAAATGGTAAACTACGTTTTTTTGTGTGTGTGTGGGTAGGGATATAAAGATATACAATCGAATCATTCAAAAGGATTATTTCAACTATGATACTACCTACTGGAAAAAAACGAATCAATCAACAACGCAATTAACATAATCAATATTGATATTTTTAAAATATTGATGAATTTTATGGTGTTTTTTTCTCGTTTGAAAAGAATCCTCACAATTCATAAGAGATTGTTAAGATATCTTTTACTTTATATACATTCATATTTTTCATATTCATGATCTTTTTAAGCATCAATCACCATTATGTCGAATGTGATATTTGATTAAAAAGATGGTTATTTTTAGCTTAGCAAAAAAAAAATTTTGTTTTCATTAGAAAAAAAGGTTCTTTGATTTTTGTTGGTTGTCTGCTATGTGCGTAATGGAATAGCAAGAGATGCTATACATACACAAAACATTGCATTATATAGCATCAAGTAAAAATGCCGCATCAACAGCTATAGTCCAAACACACACACACACATAATGGATTATTTTCATTTCACATCGATTGAAAACTTGACCTGAAAACCCACACACACAGTGAAACATTTTGGAACCTATTTACATCATCATCATCATCATCCTACCAAAATGGAATCAACCATTCGCGTTTTTTTTGTTTTTGTTTTATCATATCGATCGATCTACGTATATTCGAATGAATTTGATTAAAACGAATGGCTATATGGATTTTTCTTCTTGAATTGAACATTATTCGTGTTCTCTATCTGTTTTGTTCGATTCTTTGAATTTCATGAAAACATTATGATATTATGATCTTTTTGTTTTCGCTGTTGGCGATTTTATAACGAATCGTATGTGTGTGTATACCGGCATATAATGTAAATGTACGAATAGAGATTTTTCATAGGCTGAATGAGAAGAAAAAGAAGAAAAATCCTTAAAAATGTCATTGGCGATGTTCATCGATTGACATGTCGATGTACATTGTTTGTTTGTTGTAGGAATATCGAATCATTCCATTCAGCCAGAAAAATACCGAAAATCAAAGATAACTTTGAACACTTAAAATGAAATGAAAAAAAATAAGCAATCAGGCCAGTGAAATTTATATATAATTTTTTTCTTTCGAATAAAAAAAGAGGATGAAGGCCAACGTACGACTACAGAGAAACCGGGAGATAATGATGATGAAGACTACCATCAATTCACGAATTTAAACCGATGAAAACAAACACACATAAACAAAGGAATTTTCATATTTTGAAAAAAAAAACATTATATAGAATCAAATTGATGAAATACATACAAACACACACCCTATATTGCCACCCCTTCATTCACATACACCCACATAATATGTATGGTGTGATTTCAGTTCGAAGCACTTTCATTCGCCCAATTTGTTTTCACCTCCTTTACTTTCATTTGTATTGTTGTTGTTGTTATACTTTTTGTTATACTACCACTTCTAATTACAATTCATTTTTTTGTAATGCTTCTTCCTTTTTTTCATTCATAGGAATATTTGACGCCTTTTATTAAGATAAGACACCCTGTATTTTCCGCCGGCTCCATGATTTCAATTGTTTGTTTGGTTTGGATATCATTTATAAGTGTCCTTGTATCATTCTCGACGCCTATATATAATTTTTTTTACTTTCTTTCGATCAAATTACTTTCATATTTACTACTACTATACCAATAGATACTGCTATGATCATCATCGGGATACGGTCACAAAAAAAACAGAAAAAAAAGGTAGTGGCCAATCACATTTCAAGGCAATCAGCCTTTTTTCCAATACATGTGCCTCGTTTTTTTCTGTTTGTATCGTATGTTCGGTGAATGTTATTTTCAGTTGGATATTGTATGTTGATCAATCCATATCATTAACCAAAACAGACAAACACCATAGAAGACCCACACTATTCAATTTTGAATGACGCTTTTTTATCGTCGATGCTAATGTCGATGGTCGTATTTCTCTCAGCCGCTTCTCTTATTTGTTTGTTTGTGTGTGTATGTATATTTGATGTTGACATCCGAAATTATCATCATCATCAAACAACGACTGACTACGAAATGTGATCGAACTGACAAAATTTCTCATTTTATTATTATGATTATTAAAGAGAAAAATGATGTTTTATGGAATGGTTAAACTTGTCGCAACTTGTATTCAACAAAAGTCGACTGATTGACTGACTGACTGACACTGATATTGAATTAAATGGAGTGTTTGTGTTATAGCTTTTTGGAATGCTGGAAAAAAGGGATGGAATCATAATTATTTTATTTTTTTAAATTTCTCGATGATGTGATTCGTATCGTTTTGTGAATTGCAATTCATCATCATCATTTAATAATCATTTGCTAGTCGTTCTCGTTTACGTTTGTTTGTTTTTGCTTTTCCGATCATCAAATTTTGAAAAGAATTTTTTTTTCAATTTTCTTCTGTGTGTCCAATCTATTTGTGAAAATAAATTCTTCGCAATCCAGTGTAATCAACGTGGATTTTTCCAAAAAAAAATTATTTACAGCATCTACATTCTTTAATCATTGGTTTCAAAAGCTAATCGTAAATCTGGTTATAGTCCGATTTGTTTTTCTGTTTGTTTGTGTGTGTGTTTGTGTTTATGTTTGTCTCTGCTTGTGTGTATATATGTTTTTGCATCCAATATTTAAAGTCATCAAATCCATCCAAGGCCAAGTGAAAGTTTGAGTGGAAAATGTGCAAAATTTTTCCATACATAACACAAACACCGACATCAACAGTCGACATAAAAATAATAAATCCAATACATTCGATTTAAATGTGTAATCATCCATATATATCGTATTATTTTGCACCATTTTCTTCCGTTTTCATTAAATTCCGTTAATTAAATATTCGATAAGTTTCTTTAAATCAAAAAAAAAGAAGAAATCTTCAAATAACAACAGATAATCATCAACAATAACAAAATCATGTCAACATCAGTGGTCCAAATGATGGACATATCGACCGCTGGTGCTGCTACTACCGCCCACCAACGCCGAACAACAACCTCAGCCGCTAATTCACTTGATTCAACAAACGGATCATCAACGACCAATCTTCATCATCATCATCATTTGATTCATAATCATCATTACCAAAATCTTTATAATAACAATAATAACGGTCCGATTAATTTTGCCATGAAATTTTTCAATAACAATAACAACAATAATATTGTGGTAAATGCTAATCGCAAAAATATTGCAACATCCATAACATCATCAACAGCATCTTCGACAACTTCATCATCATCATCATCATCATCACCTGCCGCTTTAACAACACCAACTAGTTCACCACAAGTGAAGATTAAATTAGAACCACGTGTACCAAGTCCATGTACAGCCGATTTAGTTTGTATGGCTGTTAATGGTAGTACAGCCGCAACAACGGCTGGTTCTAATACAAGTACCGGTACCGGTGCAAAATCTACAAATATAGCACGTCTACCACATTTGAATGGTGGGGGTGATACTGCATCCGTTTCGGGTAGATCTCCATCTAATATCAAAGATCTCTCATTATATCTGTCGACGAAAGGACAACAACAACAACAGCTTTTGATCACAACAGCCAATGGTGGTATAGCCAATATTTCTACTACCACCAATCAACATAACAAACAAGAATCTCAGGATAATCATAATAATCATTCATCTTTATCATCTGGTCATCAACATTTAACGCCTTCAACATTGACAACAAAGCCACCGGTTATGTTGACCATTCCGAATGGTGATGATCAACCGCCTCCATTGTTAATGAACAAGAATCATCATTATCGACAAAATTCTCAATCACCGCCATCAATGTTGACCTCATTATCATCATCACCAACATCATTACCATCGCCATCATCAACAACAAATGGTCATTTTTCCATTATTGGTGCCGGTCTTAAACGACAACATGATGAAGCCTTTGGTCATCATCATCAACATTATCATCAAGCCCATGGTCAACATAGTGATTCAATAACGCCATCATCACCTCCACCATCAATGACAACAATGATCACGATGAATGGCCACAATACTTTACATCAGATGCCAACAACACCGAACAACAATAGTATGGTTGCATCACCGACTTCATCATCATATAGTGATTTTGGTTCTGCATGTAAGTATTTCAAGATGAACAAATTCTTTTTTTTTGTGTGTAACACATTTACTTTTTAAAATGGAATGACTTTATTCATATATGACACAAGTCAGAATTTTTTTCACGATAATCGAAGTAAATTAAAATTTCACTTGCTCACATATATCTCATATTACCATTCTTGGTGTTACCCCAAAAAAATCATTTTTTTTTCATCCGAATTTTTTAGGTTACTGTGTCTCTGTATTTGAGGGTTATCTATCTGGTTTATTTACTCGAACTTTATACTCACACAAACACATACACATCAAAGCTTACTTGATCTTTATGTTTTTTTTTGCACCAAGGTTACGAACTTATTTTTTTTTACTTGGTTGTTATGTTGTCCCTCTAAATATGCTTCAATGTGTTTTTTTTAATATTCAAGCAACAGAATGCTTATAAAACATTTTTGAAGGTCATCACCATTTATTCATTCATTGATGATGATCATTTCCTTGCAAGGAATAGCAAAAAAAAAACAAGAAAATGAAACGCAATATATATAGCCGTGGTGTCGACAACAATCAGTTCAACTATTCGACACACACACACACACACATGGATAGATATTTTAGGTTCTTTCGTCGTTTCCTTGGAATTGGTCATTTTTGTCTTTTAAACAAAAAAAATGCTTCAGGGGTAACTCGTTCGTTCATTTTTTTTTTTTTTTTTGCATATGTATACCAAAAAACAAGGAACCAACCAACCCCCAATCGTCCACCGTTTTTTTT